ACGGCTCTTCAGCTTTCTTGCCAAGATAAAGGAGCCACTGGGCGGTCAGCCCTCAGGAGGAAATGCGGCTCCTGTGGGCTTTGTTGTTCCAGACGTGTCTTGGAAAGGATCCCAGGCTGAGGTGGCAGTTTCCCCGCTGCTGGAGGCAGGGTAGAGGGCGGCACAACTTCCCTGAAAGGGGGAGGAAACCCAGAGAGAGGCTTAGAGTCCTTAGTGACAGCAGGTAGCTTAATCCTTCATTTCCACGATCTGGGTTCTCACAAACTAGGGTTCAGTAGAGAACTCCCCATTTTACAGGCGATGAAACAGATTCAACAGAAACCTAGCAACTTCTTTTTAATCCGTCTTTATTTTATTTTCTGGGTAGGTGTTTTTGCCTGCGTGTATGTTTGTCCACCACATGCGCGCCCGGTGCCTGCAGAAACCGGAATGGGTTCGCATCCCCCCCCCTGGAGATTGCTAGACAGTTGTGAGCCTTTGTGCTGGTGTTGGGAGTCAAACCCAGAGCCTCTTAACTGCCGAGGGCTCCCCCTGAAGCTTCTTAAAGGGTCCACAAACATCTACTAGAAGGGAAATAACCTTGGCAAAACCCCTGCTGTTGGCTTTATTATTAACCCCAAGTGACTCTGGATACAGTAGGTCCTTAGTGGGTCCTGTGTCATCACACTCAGCCGTATGGTGAGGTGTAGGTGTGGAGAGGGAAGCCCCAGCTAGAAGGGGGAAGGGGGGAATTTGGGTAACAGAATTCAAGGGCTCCTCCAAGCCTACTGAGTCAGCAGAGGGAGACCCACAAGGAGGGAGCAACTACCTAATCCATTATAAATGGGGCCGTTATAAAAAGGAGATGCAGAGATGCTGTCACGGGCCTTTCCTCCCAGCACTTGGGAAGCAGAGGCAGGAGGGGCTCCATAAACTCAAGGATGGATGATCTGCAAAGGTGGTTTCCAGGCCAGCCAAGACTACATGATAAGAGCGTGTCTACAACAGGCAGGGGAGGCAGGAGATGCTCCAGGGGGCAAATCGTGCAAACTTGATGGCCTAAGCTCAGTCCCTGGACACGGTGGCTCGGTGGCTCGGCTCGGCAATCCCAGCACTCCTCTAGCAAGATGGAAGTCAGAGACAAGGAGGTCAGCCAGAAGCTCACAGCTCACATATGTAGCCCAGCAGTGGAAACAAGAGACCCTGCTAAAATGGGAGAAGACAAGCAACTCCTGGAGGGTTGTGGCCAGACTTCCACATGTACGCCAGCGCATGTGTGCACCCTCTTTCACACACAATAAGCAACAACAAATCTTTAAAAGTAAATAAATAAGAACTTCAAAGACAGCCACACCTGAATATTGTAAGGCCTTCTAGCCCAGGATCCTTTGTGACTCACTGGCACCATGAAGATAGCCCAAGAGGCCTAGAGGGGAGGCTGCTATGTGCAAAGGGGTGGGTTCTGGGAAGATCCTGGGATGGGTGTGTGGGAGTGGCTATGGCTGTACAAACAGGACTGGCTGGGCTCCAAGACACCATCTTCACAAGTACAGGACAACCATCACCGAGGAATTGTTGGGTCCAGCTGGCCTCTCTCTCAAGAGGCCTGTCTAGAGAGGGGCCTTACAACTACCTCTGAGCCTTCAGTGGGCTGTCTGGATGTGGGAAAGCCAGGAAGAATGCATTTCTGGGGGTGGAGCAGGTGTGCGGGCTGGGAGTGTCTAGATGACAGAGTGCATTGCAGGTTGTGCCTGGTGTTTGTAGAGTAGTGCACTTAAGTGTGAGACACAGAGAGGTGGCTCAAATTGGAAGTCAGCATACGGGGGGGGGGGGCTGGGGGTAGCATGTGTGCAATGGGAAGTGGGTGCGAGAATGCATGCATTCCCGGATGGCTTGCCTAGGTACCGGCTGCCCCCTGCTTGTCTTCCTGGTGATGAGGGGTTCTCAGGTGAGGAGCTCCGCCCCCACCGCAGCCCCAAGGCCTTTGTGGGGCCACAGCCCCTTGGAGGTACATTCTTGCTCACCACAGGGTGGGCAGAGCCGTGGTGCAACCTGCTAGGCCGTTGGGGTGATCCCAGGCCAGTGGTGTCAGGTTCCCTGTGCCCCAGCCCTCCCCCTTCAGCCCTCTAAGAGCCTTTGTTGGAAGTTCAGACAAACTTGTCAGGGGGGCGGGCAGGAGGCCGCCTCCTAATCGGCTTTCCCAGAAGCCAAAGGAGAATGAAAGATTAGGGGTGGGGGGCTCTAGCCCCGGGCAGCTCTGTGGGAAAGAGTTGGGGAAGGGTTCCCCAGCCCTGAAGGGGTCCCTCCCAGGCCCTGTCAGCAGGTGTTCCTTCCACCTGAGCTAAGGAACCAGACTCCTAATCTAAAAGAACGTGGGCCAAGCCTTTGAAAGGGAGAGTCCAGATTACGCTTGGAGGAAAACTCCTCTCACCCCTCACTCCCCATTAATACTATGGTGGGGCACATCCTTGCCCAGCCTCTCTCTCCTCGAATGCCTTCCTATGCTTTACCGCATCTGAGTCTCCTGGGAAGCAGGCCAGACATAGTTAAGGGCTCCCATTCAGCAGACTGAGGAAGGCTGAGCCCTCAGGAAGGGCCCATAGTACACAACAAGCTGTAATGAGTTTGCGTTGACTCTGTCCTGGAGATCCTGACCTCTAACTTTTCTATCATTTCATTTAATCACGCGGCTCGAGGGCCATCTTTCTGTTGGCAACTGTCCAAGTTAAGAGTGTGAATTTCAAGGTTAGCTGGGTCCTGACCTCGGGTGGGCATTGCTGCCTAGTGGTCCTGGATGAGCTGTGGAATTGCCTTGTACCTCGGTTTCCCCATATGTCAAATGGGGGTGAGAATAAGATCTACCTCCCAGAGTTGTGCCAGGATCAAATGGCTGCACAAAGAACATGCTGAATCAAGTCCGTACCAACAGCCCAACTACCATCTTGCCCTAAGTATGTGGCAGGCTCCTCCTACATGCCAACAAGAGCCAGCAGTCATCCCCTCTCCTAGAGTAGGGCACCTACCCTGTAGTTGGGCCAAAGGCCGAGGAGCACCTTTGGGCCTTCCCATCCTGTTGTCACTGTTGTTCCCTTGGAAACTACAGCTCCCAGACTCCTCCTGGATTACCTATACCTATACCTATACCTATACCTATACCTATACCTATACCTATACCTATACCTATACCAGGTGCGGGTCATTTCTCCCAGATAACCTTGCGCTTCCCGTTAAAAAGCGAGCTTCCACGAGGTCTCGCTCTCTCTTGCCCCCACCCTTGTGTGTCTCACACACCTATCCCTTATCGTGTCTCCCTCTCCCCATTAAAGTGCACCCACGTGGGAGCCGCGTGTCTCGTCTATCCTGTGTTCGTCCACACACCCCACCCCGCCGTTTTTAAAGGAATAATAGTCATCATGGTGATTTTATCTCTTGTACCTCTCACTAGTCAGCCCTAAGTCGACCTCATCCTCCCATGTGCTGAGATTACAGGAGTGCAACCCCACAGCCAGCTCTTCTGCTTCCCTTTCTAGGGAGCCCCGCTATCCTCCAGTCCCACCCTGGTTTTTCCTGAACTCAGGACCTAGTCCTGCGTCTTGGATGGACTGTGCCTCTCCCGGGACCCTTCCTTCCTTCATGAACCCCTGAGAAACACCTGGCATCTGGGCTCAGGCTGTGCCTCTCTCTCCTAAAGCCCCTTTCTGACCTCTCTTTTCTGTTTCCACAGTTCCTTGCTTTTTGAACTCTGAGTCACCTCAGGCTGTGATTGTCAAGGCACGTTTTGGGTTGTTTTGTTTTCATACTTGTTTCTCTGGACCCAGCACCCAGCATGGGACTAGGCATACAGCAGGTGCTCAATCAATGCTGAAGAAAGAGTGAGGGATTTGAACTGCCCTGTCGCCAGAAACCGCTGTGCCAGGGAAGGTGTGTCTCTCAATGCTGAGGTATGTAGGGAAGGAACACTGGGTGGCTCAAGGCCCAGGTGGGAGCTATGGAAGATTTGGGGAGACATTTGATCTGTCAAGGAGGTGAAAGGGGATGCTCCCCACCCTAATCCTCAGCCCTACTCAGGAAAGGAATGCAGCTCCTGGGGTCACAGTGACCTGGGAAGTAGGGAGAGCAGAGCCCTGAAAAATCCAGTAGATAGCCCACCTGCATACTCTTGAGGCCTGCTGGGGTTCTCCTACCAAGAAGACCTGACAGAGGGAGCTCCCAACCCCCAAGCCTCAGCTCCACGCAGCACAATTCCTCCTGATAAAGGGGCTGTGCAGACACTCTGGAACTCAGAGAAGGAAGGTAAGGCCAGCAGGGTGAGGACCAAAGGGCGAATATCTCCAATTCACTTTCGTTGTTGTTTGTGAGACAGGGTGTCTCTGTGGTCCTGGCTGTCCTGGAGCTCAGTCTGTAGACCAGGCTGGCCTCAAACTCATAGTGATCCATCTGCCTCTGCCTCCAGAGTGCTGGGATTGCAGGCATGTGCCACCATAACCTGCTTTCTTTTTCTTGAAATGAAGTAGGAGAAACCAAAATTTCACAACACAAACTTCTGAACTGTGCGCTTTTTCTGCAATTATTACCTGTATACCCTGTCCCCTGACTCTATCACTGTTTCCTTCTCATTCAGAAGCACACAAATGTCGCAGACCCTTGGGCTTGTGGCACACAGGTCCTCATTCCTATACATAGACTTCCAACACACACACATATGTAATATGTATATACATACTTATATATGACCTTACCACTGCTGCAACTCCCTCTCCACCTCTTGCATGTCTTGCACGCCTCTTGCTTGCCTCTGATGATAAAGAACTCACTCCACTCCAAGGCCCCTGTTCCACCGGAAAGCAGTTCTGACTTTTTATTTTAAATTTTATTAACTTTATTATTAAAAACAAAAACTCTTACAAATAAATTAAAACATCACACACCAAAATTAACCAAGACCCAAAGTCGATTCTTTTAGACCAGGTCTCAAGTGGCCTGTATGGCTGGCCTTGCACTCAGAACCCTCCTGCCTCCGTCTGTCAAGTGCTGGGATTCAGATGCGTGCTACCATGCCTAGAAATTCAAATGTGCTTCCCTAGGATTCAGCTTTGCCTTTAGCTCGCTGGAGGCTTCACCTATCATCCTGGCCTCACAACCCTGCAGAACCATCCCCCAGGCTTCTCCAGATATCGGCAGGTGTCCCCTGCCCCAGACTGTCCTGTCACCTGTCCTTGGGTGAACCCCCAAAAAGGCCAGAGAAGACAGAGATGTACCTATACTCCCTGCTCCCAATGACTTCTTCAAAGTGACACACAAGCTACAAATAAGAATCGTGAAGATTGTTGCGAGGCCAGCAGAGAAGCCACCTGTCACAAGGCAGACTTGCACTGTGTCCCTCCAGTCACTGTGCGACTCTGAAACACCACCTACTCAGCCCCTGTAAGCATCTCTGGGAATGAATATGGGTCAAGGGCTGTGCTGCCAGGTTCTCTTTTATTAGCCAATTAGGACAAAGAACAGGTCACAACATCACAGGAGGTAAGGCCAAAGGACTGACAGACAGATACACAGGACAGAGCATCATGCTGTGCTACGCAGGGGGCAGGGGAAGGGAAAGAGAGTGGTTGGAGTGGTTGTTTCTTCAACTAACAGAATAAATAAATACAATACACTGTGTTCTTGCCACAGGCTGGCACAACCTCTAAGCACAAAGGGTCACAAAACAGCTGGTTTGGAAAGCAGTCTATATTGCTCGGCAGCCTTGGCATAGAGGTGGGGACCCAGGCCCCTGGACCATGCTCTAGGAGAGTGAGGAAGTGGGACAAAGGAGACCCCAAAAAGGAAGGAGCAGAGAGATACAAGACTTTCACAGAAGGGCTTGTAAGGTTCCATCCTCAGTCTCTCTGTTCTGAGTTACTGACAAGCAGGCTAGCGGGCCTGGGAGAGAGTCCATTAGTTTGTGCCTTTTAACTCCTCCAAAAATCATACCCTCTAATCCTCCCAAGGCAGCATGGTCAACTCTCTACCTACCCTTCTCTTTCAGCTGCTTGAAGCACCTGACTCTGGTACCTTAAATTACCTTGAGATCCTCGAGGGTAAAGCCCGCACGTGTCTCCCCTTCCTTCTCTGGCTATGAGTTTGCGTCAACAGAAAATGGCTGACGAAAATCTAAGAATGCTTCCTAAAAGCCTAGGTAGCCCTGGTTTCCGCCATGATAGAATTCAACTCCGGGAGGCCTTGCTTCATCTAGGAGAACCGGTAATGCCTTGAAATGCTGAGGGCCAAGTCCCAGCGACAATCATTTGTACCCAGGAATAAACAAACTGTTTCAGCCCTGTGCCTGGGCCCAGAAGAGATGTTTCAAAATCACATCTTCCTGAAGCTAACCACAATCCATTAGCCGTGGGCCACTGAACCCTCCTCAGCCCAGAATCCCTTCTGTCTCCCTGGCCAGGTCTCTCCTTCTCTGATATCCCCACAGCTTTGGTCTCACCTTCAGATTCGAGAGAGCTACCCCTCACTCAGACACCCTCAGCTGCCTGTCTTTGGTGCTTACTGCATGGAAGTGGGATATTAGCCTAGATTCCAGGCCTTTCTGCTCCACCTCTCATTGAGGTCATCCCTCCTGTTCAATGATCGCATGCTCACCTCTCCTATCAGATTCCATGCTTTTCCCTGCTTTTTCCCGGCTGAAGCCTTTTCTTCCTACCCCAGTCCAGACTGACCTTACTAAGATGGGCTCTGCTGACTCTGTAGGCCAGTCAGGCCAGGCTACCCTCTAAGTGTGGGGTTTGGCTCAGTGGTGAGCCAAAAGAATCTAATTCATCTTGCCTACCCCCACAGTGGGCACGGAAATGGAGTAAGCCTCCCCTCAGGCTAGCACTGGAATCCAAGAAAAGCAGGCTCGAATGCAGACTGTCTCACCTAGAAAGGAGCCGCCACACTTACAGGGAAACCGAGTCAGTCTCCAGAGAGAGCTTCATGTATGTGGGATGCACTGTTTCTCAGTAAAACAGCCGTTAACGTTCGAGCCTACACATCAGGCTTCTCTACTGTCTGTGCTGAGTCACTGTTACGTTTAAATAAAGGCCTCTGTCCTCCATGGCTGTGGGCACAGAATGCCGGGTGGCTGGAAATGCACAGAATCTAATAAGTCTTCTTATCCCGACAAGACCATCCCAGAAAGCACTGGACTTGCCCAAGTTTCCACGACCCCGAAAGGGAAAGCTACAGAGCAAGGTTGCCTAGACCTGAAAGAACACCCCTTACCATGCCAGTGACTACCTGGGGGAGAGGAAGCCATAGGATTTCTCTCACTGCTAAGGAACTCCAGAGCCTTGCCATGATGCCAGCCATTCCACTGCCCCTCTACAATCTGGGGAGTTGGTACCTCCAAGATCATTAGTAAGAGAAGAAAGGGTGACAAGCCCTTCCTGATATCCGGGAGACACTGTGGGAATAGGGCTTCCTTCTGACTGTTGCTCCGTGGCCTCCGGGTAGGGCTTTGTGGAATCTTGGGACATAGATTGGAAGAGCTGCCTAGAGAGGGTTCGGGCTAAGGGGGCAGATAGGCAGGCAGGGTAGGAGGGAAACAGGAAGGAACAATATTACTAAAACAAAAGCCACAACCCCAAACAAAACACTATTTGAGAATACAGGACACTAACACAGCCAGCACCAAAGGAAGAAACCAGAGGCGGAGGGAAGGCATAGCAGTTAGATCCAGGTAGGCGGGGAGACAGCCTCAAGACAGAGGCAGTGGGGGGGGGGGGGCAAGAGAAGAAAGAGAAAGGGAGATAGGGACAGAGGGAGCGAGGGAGCAAGGAAGGAAGGGGGAGGAAGGGAGTTTCAGAGGCAAAGGTAGCAGTGGCCATATGATGGGAACAGGGGAAGGGGCCTGGGGCAGGCAATGCCTGAAAATATAGTTTTATATATTTATATTTATATCTCACATTCCACACATCAACTTACTAGTGGGGTGGGCCAGGAGGGAGGAGACAATACTGAGGAGGGGATCTAGCCAGTTGCTCACCTCCTCCCCGTTTGACCTCCATAGGGTCCAAGCAGGGACATGCAGAGGGAATGTGGGTTTCACCTGGGCCTGGGACTCTGCTGAAGGGACACGGGGTGAGAGGACTCCAGGCCCCAGCATCCCCGAGCTCTCAAGATTAGTTCTGGGAGAGCTTTCTGGGAATAACCATGGGACTGAGACAGGGGCACACAAACCACGACCACGGTTGGGTTGGAAGCCAGAGAAGTCAATTGGGCAGTGTATCCAGTCCCAGGGAGGCCGCGTGCTGCTTGGCCCGGAGGCGAAGGTTTTCAATGCTCGTGGTTTTACTGTTCAGGGCAGCTGAGGCAGGTGCCAGGCCTGTAGGGGGCGCCGGCAGCAATGGGGACCCCCAGACTCCCTGGTGAGCAGCAGCAGCAGCTGACAGGGATTGGTAGTAAGACTGGCAGTGCAGTGAGCTCAGTGGGGCCATGTTGACACCTAGGTAGGGCACCGCAGCAGCCGCAGCTGCAGCCGCAGCAGGTGCCGAGCCTCCCACTTCAAAAGACGAGTAGTGCACCAGGTTGTTGGTGGCTGCCATGTGCTGGCGAAACTGCTCCTGGAGACGGAAGAGGCTGAGCGGGGAGGAGGAGTAGGAATGGGAAGGGCCCAGGAGGCCTCCCCCTGGTGCTGCTGGAGTCGTGGGCAGGCTGCCTGGGGAATCTGCAAGCAGAGAACGAACAAGAGGATTGGCCTTGGAGGAGGTGGTCCCTCGGCTTCCTATTGGTCCTGCAATGAAGATAGTCTTTGACTGACACCATCACCGCCCCATAGCAAGGGAGATTGTGTGTGTGTGTGTGTGTGTGTGTGTGTGTGTGTGTGTGTGTGTGTATCAAGACATCCTCTGAAGTGACCCTCAGAATTTGGTTGGGAGGGACTTGTCAAGCTCCAGGGTTCCTGCCTGGGCACCCATGCCTGAGTTCCTGGGAGCCCCTTAATCTTTTCACGGAATATCCAGGACTCTCATCTCCTCATCTCCTCCCTCCTTGCCTAGCTTTGTGTTTGAAAACACCTCATGCCAGAGCTCTGTTCTTCTTAACGATGGCTAGGGGTGGAGGCTCCAGCCAGAGCAACTTTGTAGAAAAGAGATGGATATGCCTAGCCCTAAAACAGAACCATCCCCAGCTAAGAGTGGTGGTGCACACCCTTAATCCCAGCTCTCAGGAAGCAGAGGCAGGTGGACCTTGTTGAGTTCAAGGCCAGCTTGGTCTACTTAGGAAGTTCCAGGTCAGCTGGAGCTACATAGTAAAAAAAAAAAAAAAAAAAAGAGCATTCTCTAGACCAGAGGATCTCAACCTCCCTAACAACCATAAAATTATTTTTTTAAAGATTTATTTATTTATTAAGTATACAGTGGTCTGCCTGCATATGTCCCTGCAGGCCAGAATATTTCATTACAGATGGTTGTGAGCCACCATGTGGTTGCTGGGAATTGAACTCAGGACCTTTGGAAGTGAAGCCAGTTCTCTTAACCTCTGAGCCATCTCTCCAGCCCCCCATAAAATTATTTTTGTTGCTACATCGTAACTGTAAGTTTGCTACTGTTAGGAACCATAATGTAAATATTAGTGTTTTCCGATGGCCTTAGGCGACCCCTGAGAAAGGGTCCTCCAAACCCCCAATAGGTCATGACCCACAAGTTTTAGACCTCTCAGCAGACACCCCTTCCATAAGAGCTCCCAATGAACTAGACCCCTGAGATGAAAGAGCATGGGCCAAGTCCTAAGAGAAGTTTGAATCAGGGTGAAATCTGCTGTGTGGCAATCTCAGCAACAGTATGGTATTGTGAGGAAGAGGCCCAGTCAGTCATCCTCATCAACCTAGACCGTGAACCCAATATGGACAAGTTCAACAGAACCGCCATATACAGGCTGCCCATGCATGCTTCTGCATTGCCACAGGGGAAAAGGTGTGGTATTGACCCAGCACACACCAGTACATCTACACAGACTGTTAAAATAATTGCTAAATGGTGAATGGGCTCTAGCTGGCCCCTCACCTGTGCCCTCCTCAGCCTCCCTGCTGCCCGGCCCTTCTCCTAGATTTATCTAGACCTTTCAAGGACTCAGCCACACTAGAGGGTGGACATGGGTCACAGGTCATGCTCCTGAATGCCTATGACCGCCCCTCTTGCTTTGATCCACATCACACACTCAGGCCCCCAGTCTCCCTGACCTGTGGGTCACCTCCCACCCAAGTCTCACCTGCCTTGGGGCTGCCCCTCTTGCAGCCCTGCACCTTGCTCTCAGATCCAGGGCTCTTCTGGGCTTTGGCCTCCTCGGCCCCAGCGCGAGAGTTCTCCTCACGGTCTGGCTGATCTTCAGGGGCTGACTCACTGGCCGATTGCTCCGACAGACTCAGCTGAAGCTCAGCAGGCGGATCACCACTGGGCAGACTGGGAGGCTGTTCTGCCTCTAGCTGGGTGTCTGAGGCTGGGGCCTCCATCTTGCCTTCTCCGTGGGAGCCCTCAGCCTCCTTCTGTTTCTGGAGTTGTTCTTTCTGCAGGCTGCGCTGCTTCTTCCGGAACTTGGCCCTGCGGTTCTTGAACCAGACCTGGGGGTGGGGGACACAAAGAAGAGCAGTCAAGGGAGGAAAGACCGTACCCTGGGCACGCCAGGAGAAGTGTAGGTGATAATCCTTCACCCAACCCCACCTATTCTTTCCAAATGGGAATGAGGGAAGTAGGCATGTATCTCTGCACTGCCCTAACAAACGGTAGGTCCTGGATAACTGGACACCAGTCTGACGGCTAGCACCATCTGTAAGGTACAGTTGGGAGAGTTGGATCCTACCTGCACGTGGGCCTCGGGCAGATGGATACACATAGCCAGCCTCCCGCGGACCCTACCTGCACGCAGGCCTCGGGCAGATTGGTACACGTGGCCAGCCTCTCGCGGATCCTACCTGCACGCGGGCCTCGGGCAGATTGGTACACATGGCCAGCCTCTCGCGCATGACCACATCTGGGTAATGCGTCTTCTGGAAGGTCTTCTCCAGGGCCTCAAGCTGCTGGGCTGTGAATGCCGTGCGACTACGACGTTGTTTGCGGTGCTGGGAGCCATAGCGGGCCTCCAAGATGATGTCTTGAAATGTACAGCCGTTGGAAGGCAAGCAGAGGGCGCCCATTTAATTATGGGAAATAAGTTTTGAATCTGATCCTGCTCTGACCCACTTTGGACGCCCAAACAGGCATCAGAGCTGACCTCTGACCCTTGGAAGTCACCCATCCTCTTCCCACTGGCTGGTATTGAAAATCTTTCCCTCCTGACAACCTCCATCCTCAGAACTACCAAGGACTAATTCAGCTCCGCATGGCTACCAGGCACATGAGTGTTGGAGGGTATCCTCCTGATCTAACTGGTATTAAGGGTGTGTAGATAGGTAAGACCTCAAGATCCTTAAAGTCTCAATATACTAGACCAAGAATGAAAACACATACTTGCAATCCTAGCACTCAGGAGGCCGAGACAAGGAGGCTTATGAGTTCAAGTCTAGCCTGAGATATACAGTGGAACCATATCTCAGAAAGAAAAAGTCTCGAGATGCTGTAATATTTTGAGACGACATGCTGCTAATGACCTAAAAACCCCTGTCTCGATGATTCTGATCTCCTGTGGGCCTTGGACTCTGGCTATTAAGATTCCCTAGCATCAGATTATGGACCCTTAGCCTTGGGAAGCCAGTTTGTCAGCTGGAGCTGATCGAGGACTGATTAGGGGAATTCTCACCTGGCATACCATCCTCTCTTACATTGGCTCGCATTCTCTTCCTTAGTCTCTATGTCTCTGATGGAGAAACATTAGATTCCTGGTCGTATTTCCTAAGCAGAAAGCTAAGCTCTGGCAGGGCCCTAGGCACATGGGACAGGCTTATAACACCCAATCTGGATCCCCACACTGCAAGCTCAGAGGGGAGGGGCACAGGCTGTGGAGCGTTCATTCAACAGGCTTGCCTTTGTGTTTGGTAACATGAAAACCAGCCAGAAAGGTATCTCTCAGGCTAGTGTCCAGTCCTTTTCCCTTCTGCTGACTGGCGCCTGGGTTGTATGTTCCAATCACACGAAAATGGACCCTGTTGGTGCTGGAGGGAACTCAAGTTGGTTTTGCCTATGAACAGTACCACAGACTCATCCTCATGTGCTTCTATAGTTGGGAAGCTTTCTACAAAACCCAAAATGGGAAATGGACAGCAAACCCTAGACTTGGAATTTCTTCAGTTAAAGGAGAAACCCTTTATAACGTGTCCCAATCCTAGCCCAGGCAGGCCTGAGGTCATGGGTGCTACCCTTGGGCAGGAGAGGGAGCAGGGACCACTGAGTCACATCCATTCTTGGGGAGAGACAGCAGCTCAGCATCCTACTGCTAACTCCAAGGACTATAAGGGGTGGGGTACTCAAGGGAGAACAGCTCCCTAGTGCAGCACCTGCCATGGAAGGTAAGATTTCCATAAAAATACCCTAGTGGGGCTCATTGCCTCCTTCATTTGGGCATTTTTAAAAAAGATTTTTATGTATGTATGTATGTATGTATATATGTATGTACGTATGTATGTATGTATACAGTGTTCTGCCTGCGTGTATGTCTGCAGGCCAGAGGAGGGCACCAGATCTCATTACAGATGGTTATGAGCCACCATGTGGTTGCTGAGAATTGAACTCCAGACCTTTGGAAGAACAGTCAGTGCTCTTAACCACTGAGCCATCTCCCCAGCCCAATTTTGGCATTTTGAAAGTGGGCTATACACCTCAGTTCCTCTGTTCATACCAATGGGCATGAACTTCTGTCCTAAATCTTCTCTGTGCTATATAGTCTTTGAGGTAGATGTCACTATCGTAGATACCATCAATCACATTAGACAAAGGGAATTCACTCCAAACTAGAGAAACAGCCATACTGGGGCAGGTCTGCACGGACCACTGCCACACTGGACACTAATGTCTACACTGAGCTAAGAAAGGTGACCAGGGACTCAGTTGCTCAGAGGCCTGGCAAGGTCTAAAGGAGTAAGACTGGCTGCCAAATCCTCCCTGCCAGACTGGTATCTCAATGCAGGCATGGTTCTCAGACCCTCTCCCATCCCTGTGCCTGGTCTCCTGCCAATCCTTCCCCCTTTGCCACACCTTCAAAAGGCATCTGCCTCTTGGCCTGCTGGCTTTTCTTTCTTCACCAGCCCAGCATGCTACCCTGAGCTATCCACCATTAGCTCTGATCACCAAGCCCTCTCATGATCTGTGGGCCCTCGGTCTTCCAAGGGATTCTATGAAGTCCTTTTCCACCACCTGGCATGGACACCAGTCCCCATGCAACAGGATGGGTTTGGGCTGGAACATCACGAACTAGGTGGCCTCACTTTCCAGGAAATGTAGCCTGCCATCGATGTCATTAACTCCTTCTCATACCCATTGTTATGATTTGGATGTAAACTGGCCTGAAGGATCACATATCAAAGACTTTGTCCCCAGAGGGTGGCACTAGTAAAAGGTGATTTGGTCCTGAAACTGCTAACCTTATCAATGGATTAACCCATTGATGAATTCATGGCCCAATGGACTGCCAAGAGACAGGCTAAGGAGGAGGAAGTGGGTGGACCTCTGGGGGCATGTCTTGAGGGGTTTATCTTATCCTTGACCCATTCTCTCTGCTTCCAGCCTTCTGTGAGGTAAACAGCTTGACTATGCTGTGCACTTTCTGACATGATGCCATGATACAATCTCACAGCAAATGGACCCAGGTGACCATGACCCAAAACAAGTCTCCCCTCTTTATAAGTGGTTTCTCTCCGATATTTCATGGCAGCCACAGAAGCACTGGCACTGAAACCAGCGGAGAGGCAATCAGGAAGACAACCAGAAGTCAGAGGACCGGGCTACAGCTCTCTCACAGACTCCTGGGACTTGCTTGGGGCATTGAGTACTAGTGACTATAAGCACAGCCCGGCTTTTCTGACCACTTCACACGGCCGGCCAGCTGTCCTAGCACTACCCCCGTCCTAGATGAAACTTGGATTCAGAGAAGAAAGGTGAGTGGGTAGACAACTAACTACAAGTCTGACCCCACAGTTTAAGCCATACTGTTGTGTTCCGACCCCTGCCCTCTCCACTACTTATTCTCTCTGAGCTTCAGTTCCTTTGTCTATAAAATAAAGTAGTAACCTTCTTCATGGGGCTTGAAGATGGGGAGAGAGAAAAAGAGAAAGAGAGGGGAGAGAGCCACAGAGCAGCCTGTCATTTAGCCAATACTCATGGGGAGATACTTTGTATCTTCAGTCTCCTTCTTTGCAGGTTTGTTCTGGGGACCTGAAGGCTGAGGCAGCTCCAGGACCAGCACAGTCCAAACAAGCAAGCGTATCCCACAGGCACCTGCACAGATGTTATATAAATGTGTTGCCAAGCCAGCAGAGCACACAGTTTGCCCTGTCATCTATGTTACTAAGTGACCTAAGGCTTTCTAAGATACCTAGAATAAGCTGCTCACATTCCCCTCCCCTTTTTTGTCTTCTCTAGCCTCCTTTTTCATTCCCCAGCATCTTGTCCCCATGGCCAGGCAGGTCCCCAGGGCCCTTACCAGCTAGGCGTTCAGCCAGTGTAAGCGCGTGCACCGATGGCCGGTAGTCAGGGGCATGCTGGGCCTGCTGGGCTGCCTGCTGGTGCAGGTTGTACATGGCGCTGAGTGAGTTCATCGCATGTAGGGAGTAGCCATTCACCCCGTAGTGCTGCATGGCGGCATCCGCCTGCAGGTGGAAAGAGAGAGAAGGATCATGAGGTGAGGCTGTTCCATTCTATCCTGGGAGAAACATGGACCCCAGCCCAGAACTTCAATGCCCACTTTACCCCAAGGACTTCTACACCAGATCAGAAGGTGCCCTTGCCTTGCCCACAGAGTGCCCCGGGACTCCTCTTTCATTCACCCACTCATCCAGTCATTCACTCTGCAGGACTCGGGATGCCCAGTTAGATGGCTGGGGCTGGAATCACAGCTTTGGTCCTTTGGAGCTTTGTGACTTTGGACAATTCACCTAACTTCTCTGACCCTCAGTTTCTGTATCCAGAAAAGGGCACTCACCATAGGGCTAACCTGGGGTTACTGAGGACTAATATTTATGACATGGCCTGGGGTTGCTCTATGTGTCTCTGGCTGTCCTGGAACTCACTCTGTAGACCTCAAACTCACAGAGATCCGCCTGCCTCTGCCTCCCTGAGTGCTGGGATTAAAGGCAAGCATCACCACGGCCCAGCTAGGAGCCCACTCTTTTAATCACACCACTGGGGGCATGGAGACAGAGAGACCAGGAGTTCAAGGTTATCCTTAGCTACAGAGCTATTCAAGGCCAGCCCGAACTACAATGAGATCCTGCTTCAAAATAAAACAAACAAGTTAGTCCCTGTGACTGCCCAATCCATTTGCTACATTATATAACCCTCTCTTCACTCCCGTCCCCAGGCACTGACTCATGTGCGCACCATCGACTCACACAGGCATCTGTTCAGCCTACACTGCTGCGTTTCCCTGGAGCCAAGTCCAGAGCTGGATTCCCTACTGAGGCATTTGCTCTGATGAGAGGGTAATTTAAAACCCTAACATGCTTCACAGACATAAAACTATTGCTCTTACTGTTACACGTTCACAGGCATTACCTCTTTTATGCTCACAAATCTCCAAAAGGCAAGCAAGCCAAGAGCCACAAACCCCATTTGCAGGCTTAGGAAAAGAAGAGAGTCACGTTAAGGCAGACAGCCAACCCAAGGCCTGCCCCGCTCCATGTCACTAAGGTCGCGTTCTTTTGCAGTCAATTGCTCCTAGGAGGAGGTACCAAGGAACACATCCTTCCTAGTGAGATGTCTTATATGAGCAAGAAGCTGTCCAGGCCCCATCAGTCCCAGGTCACCTGGACCTTGCAGTCTTTTTCTGAGAGCACCCCACCCTGAATCAGCTTGAAATGTCAGTTTTGGAAAGTGACTCCATGTTTGCAGCCACTCAAAGACACAAAAGTGTATTTATTGCCTGGATAGAGGAGGTCGAAAGGGAAGGCTGAGATAATGTGGGTTCTTTTCCTAGGGGAATATGTCCAGCTGTCTCAGCTCCCTGTTCTTACTGAACCAGACATATATATATATATGTGTGTATGTATATGTATATATATATATCCATGCAAACATATACAATCACAGACAGCCCACACAGACATACATACAAAGACATTGTCAGGAAAACATTTACAGAAACCATCTTGCCTACCCAGAATTCAATGTCATCGTTCCAAGTTTCACATACAAACATTCTCATAGGTGTCAATTCACGCAACAGTCAACTATATACACAGACGTTATACTATACACATTGTACATTTATGTATTAACTACGTGTTAAATACCCATCTACCAAGTACCAAAGCCCCCTAACTCTGTGGAACTTACATTTCATGGACATAAAGATAAAATTAAAAAAAATCTATAAATGTCCTAGGTCTGACATCATAGGCCTGTTACCTCAGCTGTCTAGACACCCAGGCCTGAGATCATGAGGTAAGGGCAGCCTGGGCAACTTAGTGAAACCTTGTCTTGAAACAAAAATATAAAAAAGGGCTGGGCATATAGTTCATTGGTAGGGCACTCGCTCAGCAGGAGTACCCATAATACCTTCAATTCAATCCCCAGAGTGATGGTGAGTCTCTCTCTCTCTCTCTCTCTCTCTCTCTCTCTCTCTCTCTCTCTCTCTCTCTCTCTCTGTGTGTGTGTGTGTGTGTGTGAAATTAAAAATATATGTATATATCAGGTAGGAACAAATACTCTGAAGCATAATAAGGCAGGAAGAGAGGACGACAAGAAACAGAGGGGCGATTATTTCAGAGATGTGAAGCAGGCATGCGAAGCCGGGGAAAGGTCTTCCTCACTGGAAAATCAGCAAGGACAAAGGCCCTGAAGTGTGAACAAGACTGAGCCTAGGAAGCAACAGCACCAGGGTATGGACTGGGGAGGAGGCTCAGCAGTCAAGAGCACTTGTTCTCAGAGGACCAGGTTCTCTTTCCAACATCCATTTGGTGGTCGCAATCATCCATAATCCCAACTCCTGAGACCCAGTGCCGTCTTCTGGCCTCTGGAGCCACCAGGCACCACAGGTGGTGACATGCATGTGAGCAAAACATTCGTGCATATAAAATAAAATAAATCTTTTAAACAAAAGAAAAAAGGAACACCACAATGGTGGGGGACACAGCAACTGGAGGCTGGAGATAGAACAGCTATAGGGGGTGGCTGCTGGGAGGTTTCTTGGTCCATCATAGTTTGGGTTTTTATCCTGAGTGTGATGGGAAGTCCCTAGAGGATCTTTTATAGAGAAGTAATATGGTATTATTTGGGTTATGTGTGTATTGTGTGTGTGTGTGTGTACACATATCTGTGCATGTGATTTGGGTTAGGGGTGTGTGTGTGTGTACACGTGTGTGCATGTACATGTAGAAGATAGAGATCAATCTCAGGTGTTGTTCCTCAAAAACAGCCACCTTTTGTTGAGACAGGGTCTCTCACTGGCCTGTATATTGACAATTCTGCTAAGCTGAGTGGCCAGCAAGCCCCAGGGATCCATGTTTGAACAGCAAGTACTTTATGGAGGCATTACTCCAATCTCTGTGATTTCTTTTTTTGGGGGGGACAGAGTTCAAGACAGGGTTTCTCTGTGTAATAGTCCTGGCTGTTTTGGAACTCGCTTTGGAGACCAAGCTGACCTCGAACTTACAGAGATCCACCTACCTCTGCCTCCCAAGTGCTGGGATTAAAAACATGCACAACAACCACCATCCGGCTCATTAGTTTCCTAATAAAGTTTATTATCTATCTATCTATCTATTTACTTTGTGTGCATGTGAAGGGGTGTGTGTGTGTGGACATCAGAGGACAATCTGTGGGTCATTTTGTCCTTCCACCATCTGGGATCTGAGACCAAACTCAGACTGCCAGACTTGGTGGCAAGTACCTTTTCCCACTGAGCCATTCCACCAGCTCCAGGTGGAATGGAGCTTTGTGTGTGTGTGTGTGTGTGTGTGTGTGTGTGTGTGTGTGTGTGTTACATTTATTTATTTATTTATTATGTATACAGTGTTCTGCTTACATTTCAGAAGAGGGCACCAGATCTCACTATAGATGGTTATGAGCCACCATGTGGTTGCTGGGAATTGAACTCAGGTTCTCTGATAAAGCAGCTAGTGCTCTTAACCTCCGAGCCATCTCTCCAGCCCTCTTTTTTTTTGTTGTTGTTGTTTTTGTTTGTTTGCTTGCTTAACTTATTTGGATGTCGGGTGGAGAAGTCTGGGGCTGGTGGCTGACCTCATCCAATAGTTACAGAGGCCCACTCTAAGTGCCACAAAGGTGAGCAGAAGTCGAAGAGAGGAGGAGGAGAGGTATGGTGATAAAATGTATTTAAACATTATTATTTCCCGTGGCGGTGGTCGTCCTGGTGGTGGCGCACGCCTTTAATCCTAGTACTGGGGAGACAGAGGCAGGCGGAACTCCAGGCTTGAGCCCAGCCTGGTCTATAAGAGCTAGTTCCAGGACAGCCAGAGCTACACAGAGAAACCCTGTCTCAAAAAAACAAACAAACAAAAAAAGTAAGTAGGAGAAGCCACAAAGCTCAACAAACTTAGGAAAATACTAAATATATCGATGACATAGCAAATAGAAAAGTTAAAAAGAATATTCCAAAGCTATCATTCTGTTTTGTTTGAGACAAGCTAGCCTCAGACTCACTCAGCGACCCTCAAGTGCTGGTCCTCTTACCCCCCCCCCCTGCTCAGTGCAGTTGAACTTGAACCCAGAGCCTTGGGCATGCTAGGCAAGCGCTCTACTAACTGAGTTATATCTCCAGCTCTAATGTATGCAGTTTTAGTACCGAAGTAGGATACTTAAGAAAAGGCAAGTTAAGGAAATGAAGAAATAACTCATTAAGGAACCAAATGACACATGACAAAACCCTTAGCTATAACCACAGAAAGAAAAAGAACAATAGTTTATTTTTCACCGATTAGATTATCAAACACAGAGAACAATTATTATCCAGGGTCACTACACAGAGGGGTGGTAAATGGTCCTTCCCCTACCTCAGTGATGAAAAAGCTCTTTATTCTCCGCATCCGAAGCCTTCAGAGAGCATATCATCTTTCATTTAACAATCCCATTTCTAGAAATTTATCCCTCAAGAATGCAGAGATATGTATACAGGAATATTTATCACATCACTGCTTATGATGGCAAACAATTGGGAAACTAACTGTCCATCGAGAAAGGATTAGTTCAGCAAATGAGGGTACGGTCACGGCCCACAACGAAATACAGCGCATAGCTTAAAACAATGATATGTGTCTATATGTGCTGATGCTCGCAATATATGGCTGGGTGGAAGAAATAGGTAACAAACAGGATGCCTGATGTGATCTCATTTTTGCAATGTATGAATAAATATGCATAGGAAAGAGTCTAGAAGGTTATGCCCTGAAATGTTGACAGAGGTTATCTCTAAGAGAGAGTAGATGGGATTATAGGAAATTTCCACATTTATATATTTATTATATTTATAATCTCTTTGTTGTTGGGGTGTGAATGGGTGGAAGGTTATTATCTGTTCCAATGAATGTAGAGATGGAGCTAGGCTTCCAAGAGTGTCACAAGCTCCAGATGGGGCAGGGGAAACAAAATCTGAAAAAAAATCTTATCCATCCTCTGGCCCAGT